TGTTCCAAAGTCAGGACTGTTCTCCAGCATTCATTACACATAAATGGACTTATAAATGACTGAATGGAACCCAATACCAACACATTTTCTCTGTTTCAATTTTGTTCAAATAGTTTTATGAGCAATATTTGGACCCCAAATTGGAAGTGATGTTTTTTATTTTGGTTTCTGAGAATAAAATTAGAAAATTTGCCTAGTCTTTTCTATTTGTTTTTATTTTTGCTTCGTTTTCTTTTTTTCCATTGTAAGAATTGATGGGACTTGGTATGAAAAGAGAAAAGTACTTAACTATCCTTTCAAGTATCACTTCAGACATCACTGAAAAGTCTTGCATGTTTGTTTGTTTGTGTAGAAAACCCTGAAGCACCTCCGTAAGATACAAGCCTCTCTGGAATCGTGTGAGAAGACCCCAGTGCAGGAGTTTGCTATTGTGGAGCTTCAACTGGCGACAGACATCATCCTGTGGGCTAGCAGGTAGGTACTAGGTTCTGACCGATGTAGTAACTTGAAAGGTTCCCATGCACTTGGTGGCCTGACTCAATTTCTGAAGCAACTGAAATGTGCATTCCTGCCATCCATGGTATGAACCAAAACTTATGTAGAACTCAATGACGTGGGATAGCTTTTTTTAACGTTCATGTACCAGTGGGGCCATCATAACCTACTCGTTTCAACAAAAATCACTGGAAACAGTAGCTGGGGTGTTCAAGAGTTTTCAGTAGGTTGCTGTGTTGAAACAGATTGAGTCAGGCTGCATCCGAATCTTTTGTCTAGAGCTAGGTCTAGGTCCTTGCTCCAATGGAAATGAGTGGAGACACGCAGACAGTAGACCTAGCCGTAGCTCTGGAAGCCCAATTTGGACAGGGCCTCAGTCTGGAGCCCACTTTTTCATAAACCATTCCTGCAGGCATTGCCATCTTTGTAAGATTCCAGTGCAGTTCTAAGCCTGACAAGTGACGTTAAAATGATTACGAAACGAAATGCTGAAATTTAACCCCATTGAACATACTTCACGTCAGGTGTGTCGGGCCTTGCTGAAAATACTCAAAGTTGATGGTACAGCTTATGTTGCTGATAAACCATTTACATTAATCATCATGGAAAATAAATTGTTTCTCTCTCTTTTACAGGGTGGCTCGCGTCCTTGTCCTGGCTGGCAAGAAGCCTGATGGTGCATCGGTAGGCTCGGCCGTCGTCAATGTTGGTCTAGCCAATGCTAACGAGACAGCAAAGACAGACTGTGCCAACAAGTAAGTACAAGAAGTTGGTCCAGACTGCCGAGATCAGCACATACAGGGCCGTGCCCTCCCCCTTTAGAAAATTCAACCAAAATCAGAGTTGCAGAAGTAGAAAAAGACAAGTCACCTGCATGCATTGTAGCGTGCTGTTGTGCTGAAGCTCACACATATTTATTGCACTATATTGCACCTGAGCGCGTACTGCTTGTACTGCACTGATTGCATGAAACTCTCTACACTTTTAACCCCTTCGTGCCGGTAATTCTGTTGACCGTGACTGCTGGGCTGTGTTATGCCCTGAATGGAGGCCTCATTGAACCAGCAGCTGAATGGTGAATAGACTGTATGTGTGGTATACACTAATCCTCAGAGAAAGCCGCGGCTGTCAGCGGTTCCCAGTGCGAAGGGGTTTATAGTGAATGCTGACCTTCATAGATGCAAGTTAATAATTACTATATTCTCAGTGCCATCTGAGAGCTCATTAGAAAAATATTTGTGAGCTTGATCAGGTGGGACTCAAGCGGATGAGCTGCTCACTTGTGAAATGATTTGAAGTCCCTAAATCAGGCTGCGTCTATAAGTCATGGCTATGGCTGGCAGCAACGCACACATCTATGAGAAATTACTGCAGCCATTGGCTTCCATAGAAGCACCTGCTATTGTCAGCCGTAGGCAGGACTTTTTGAGTTGCAGCACCAGACTCCAATTATCTTGTTTTGATTCTCAGACTGCTGAGCATCATGGACATGTACCGCAAGGTGTGGCTCCACACCAACCACACCTCGGGGCTCCTTGAGTGCCTGGAAATCTTCAAGGACATCCTGGAGAAACTTATTCCCAATAACTCGGACGACTTGAAGAACAGTCAGGGACAGAAGAAGGAATGAACAGCATAGCGACCACCATTAATTACCGTGGTCCGCTGATATTACATTGTCGCAAATGTGAGAAACTGTCTTTCTTTCATAGAATTTACAGTGATTTCAGTGAGAATGTTATATTTCAGTATTGCAATAGGGTAAATTCAAGTAAGAGTCGCTGCATTTTCGAAAGTGCTCCCGAAGGAAACATGGACGTTAACTTTTGAAAACTGTGTGCCTCATTTCAAACAGTGGTCTATATGCCACCAGCCTGGCTATTTGGTTCAGTACAGCAATCGCATATGCACAAGTTTCAGAAACTTTTGTTGTTGCAGGTGCGCAGGTTTTAAATTTTTCTTGTTCAGCATAATTATCAAATTGTAGATAAATGATTTCACTTCAGCAAAGAAACTGGACCATTTTGGAACACAGACCTAGGGGCTACTGCGCAGCTGCATAGTAAATTGCTGAAGGTTTCACTTTATAAAACCTGGTGGTGTTGGTGTTGTGATGTCAGTCAGTATTTTGGGGTTCAAGGTGACTATCTCTTTAGTGTTCTAGGAAATGAACGTGGTGGAAGTGTTGCCGGTATTGTGTACGTAAGGGTCATTAAAACCTACAGTGGCAACATCCCAATATGGCCACTTATTCCCATAATGGATGGGGATACTTTCTACATGATTCTTCAAGTTTTGGCTTGTTTTGTGTATAAGATGTGCTCCCATTGTATATTTGGTAGAGACTGCCGTGCATGAATACGTAAGTCTCTAGTGGGAATTGTACATACTGGCATAAGTAGTTTTAATCCATCTCTGTCATTTGTCTAAAATTTTTTCCGAAGGATTTTAATTAGTTTATTGGTCGGTTGGTTGTTTGGTGTTGTTTTTTTCAGGACAGTGTGCTTTTAGTCTGTTCCAAAAAAGTGACAATCCTGCTGGGGTGTGTGTGTAGATGAACTGTAGAAATGACTTTGTTGATATTTTTGTGTTGTGGATTAGTGTTATGGGCTGGGGCATAGTGTATCACACACACACACCCAAGTGTGTATTTGCCTGCAACTGGGGACCCCCTATTGTTCCTCTTTTGTTTGTACTTTAACTTTTTCAGAAGACCACCCATATGTTTTGTACACAGTTGTCAATCGGGGACCCTCTGTCAATTGGGGACCTTATTGTCCTCTATTGTTCAAGGACCCCAATTGAATGCAGAAACAAACTCACTTACACCCCCACATGGAAGCATATAAGCACCTTGGGTCATAGACCTGTTGTTGTCCTGGGGCCAATTTCATAGAGCTGCTTAAGCGCAAAATCTGCTTAAGCCAGGTTCGTGAACAAAAGAAAGTTAGAAAACACCGCACAGTCTGGGCTCTTTTTACAAGGCAGCAGGCCTGGCTGAAATACTCGGGCATCAATAGATTTTGTCTGTCAGACTAGAGTGGAGACCAGACAATTCTTTGTGTTAAAATGCAGATGAATTTTCAGGTAACTACATTTACTATATAGCTGTAATGGTGTAGCTTTGGATGCAATTTACTTATCGCCAAAAGGTACTGGACCTCTGCTGAAGGCAGAAAACCTTGTGTGATGTGTTGAGCAACAAACATTTTTAAAATACTTTGGAGAGATGTGTTGCATCAGCTGAGCTCTTGCAATAATTCATTCTTGCTTGTTGAGATATGCATTAAACTCGCATCACATATGTAAGAGGGATATTAAATGGTGATGTAGGGTTGTTTGGGGAGGTTTTTGTTTGTTTGGGGGGCTTTTTTTGCTTTTGCACTGAAATTTTTTAGTTTTCTTATCAAGTGAAAGTAAAATACAAAACTATGAAGACCTGAAGAGATCGCTTGACGTATCCTATATTTTTCTACAAAAAAAATGTGTTATAATGATAGTTCAAGTCCATATTTGTGAAAGACAAATATGGACTTGAACTGGATTTGACATTAGACGTGCGGTTTCAACTGCAAGATCCTGTATTAATTACTTCAAGGTAATGGTATTTCAGTCTATAAGATGAAGTTGTTGACATTTATTTGTTATTTTCAAGAATTTTGGGAACTTTTAGAAAATACATGAATCTTTTGGGAAGTCTGAAATTAATTGTGTCAACCGGAGTTAGCTTTTAAATTCCATTTTCACTCTTTGAGTTGTATTTTTGTTACATCACTAAAAAGTTATGTTTATGTTTCAAATAATCCTAAGTGCCTTGTAATTTTTCAAACAAATCAGAGCTGCTGCTGCAACAAATGTTTGTAATTGTTTGTTTGTTCATTTGTTTGATTTACTTAGATAAAAAGTAATCTTAGTGTACTGTACAACCACAATTGTGTCAGATTTATCCTTGTAAACAATTCCCAAAAATAGTGGCAAGGGAATTATAATTTCATGAGACAGTTTCTACAGATTTCAAAAAGGGGTGAGAGGTTTTGCCAGTATGCAATTTTAATAACATTACATGCTTGAGGCTTGCTAAGCTTCACTGAGAAATTTCATAGGGCCTGCTTTGACAGGATTTGAACCTGCAACTTCCATATTGCATGTGCAGTCGTCTCAACCACTCAACCTGGGGAGGGGGCATGCATGGGTCAGCTGGTTGATTTCAGTTGAGTCCACAGTAGGTACTGCAATTAATGTGGAGTAGTGGATAGGGCTTGTGACTCATGATCAGGGTGGGGAATCCAGCTACTGGTCATTTTTTGTTTCCCTAAGCAAAAGTGGCTCGAGGGCAAAGGGGAGAGGAGGCTGTGTTCCACCCCCAGAGGAAGTCTGTAACGTCATTTGATATTTTTGAAATGCTCAAAATGTTCAGAACCTGATACATACCACATTTTAAACAATTACTTTTGACTCTGCGTCATTAGGCAAGTTTAGTTTGAACAAATTAAGCAAAGAATTGCATCATTCCATCTTGTTCATGAAATTGACAATTTTAATAACAAAGCTGTCTGTATGGCTGTGGCTGTAATTTTGAAAATGGATGATGAGTTGAGGAATTGGGTGTGAAATAAACATTACTTGCCTCAGCCTAGGGAAAGTTGGAAATTACAATGGATGTGGATGACAAAATTTCTAGTTTTATTCAGATTTGATTTCTAGTTTTTGAAAGATTTGTACAGGGGGAAGCCTTTGACAATGACTTTTTGGCCCTTCCACTCTGATAATTATTTACTCTGGCATTTGTTCTGGGATTTGTTCCAGACCATTCAAAATGTCAGGAATGAAGCCACAGACACAAGACCTGTCAAAAGTAGCTGAACAAGGTGAACTGAGGAGGGCTTTTGTCACACAGTTTATTGGAATAGCTTGTGGCATTAATCCAGACTAGATATCTTTAAAAGGTCTTGACTACAACACCATATTGCCCTTGAATACTGAAAACAATGATCCTAGTTTTCTTCAGACGACCTCTGTTTAAAGTTGAAGAAGTAAAAAAAATAATGCATTCCATCTTCTTGAGGAATGCATTGTTGGAGTGTCGCAATCTACGAGTAATAAGGCAGTATGGGCCAGGTCTTGCCGACTCCTGGCCCATGTGGCACGTTATACGGTGGTTAAGAAGTGGCGTCGCTCGCGCTGCATATCACATGCATAGGGGGCGCCCTGGCCGGCTGGCTACGNATGGGTGAACACATTTGTCTGGGTGCCGACTGATAACATTTGCAGCCCGCGAAAAGTTGTAAAGCGAGGACTTGAAGCTTATTGTTAAGAACTGTTTTGGTTTGCTGAACTCTGCATCCCCATAATGCCAGAAGAAACAAGAGGGAAAGTCATCGACGGGAAGGCTATCTCAGCGTAAGTGTCTAAAGTACTTAACACAGCCATTTATAGCCTTCCTTCGCAGTAGTGATTGGATCACGAGAAATGCAATGTGCACGGGCATGACGGGATGGAGCAACCTCACTGCACTGCGTGCTGCGCCGGCATGTCCGGCGGCCGCGGTACCAGCACCGAACTTACAGCCTATATACAGGGTCTAGTTGTACATTATGGAGTATCTTTGACTAGACTACATATTCAGGGTTCCCAGCCTAGCAGTGGCAGCAGGGACAGAATGATTTTGAAAGGAGGGGAGACACTTGTGATAACATGAGGCAGCTGCCATTAACCATGTTAACAGACCGACTATTATTAAAAAGCCTCATAGGGGGGCCTATAGTAGACTGCCAAAAAGGGGGGATGGGCCTACTTCCTGAAAAGTAAGGCGTTATTCCTGAGGCCTTTTAATACTGCCTGGGTCCATCTTTTTGATGGTTCCGTACACTACGGCATTTTGAAAAGTGCCCTGCAGTCGTACCAGAGAAAACTTCCGTTTGCACTTTCTGAAGCAAATCTTTCCCTAATGACCCTATATTAATAGCTAACCTATGCAACTACATGTACCGGGCACGAGTGTATTTTGTAGCTTTTAACCTATACTATTGGCAAAAAATGACTATCCTCGCCACCCATCCCTCGATGATCCGCACACATCTGCATTAGTGTGGTTTCCTGAAGTCTCTATACATAATCTGAATGAGAGTAGTCGGAATTATAGTAACTGGTATCAAGCGTCAAGAAAAAATGGCGTCCATATACGAAGTGCACATATATGCTGCTGATCGCTGCCTCATTATGCGGCGTGTAGTTCGTGCATTTTGCTATCTCATTCTCAGACATGAAATCAGCGTGCAGGTTTACAAGTATTGGCATGCCTGGACAGACAGAAAAAAACGAGGTTGTATCATATACTGAACGTTTATGATGACAGCTATACTACCCTACAGTGTACACATGATCTCAAGTCGAGTGTAATCGATTCTGAACAATGAGTTCAAATTCACGTTTGTATGCAATATTGATGGTCTCGATATCGAGACCAGCAAAATATTGAGACCACGGGGAACGAGACTGAGACTGAGTCCACAGAGTACCAAGGCAAAGACCAGGAAAAAATGGTCTTGAGACCAGTCTCGAGACCTACAACTCTGTTCCCAGCCATCCTGGAAATCATTGAAAACCCAGAAAATGAGTGAAACCTTAGGCCTAATCACGTTTTGCATACAAATTCACATGCAGTTTGTGTGATGTTATACCTTAAAATAGCTGTCAGTCACTTGAATGCCCAGTAGTCGTGAATTTGAGCTACAGTACATCAAAACCAGAGCATGAAATGCACCAGTCTGCTCATTTATGCTCATCGGTTGAAAAGACCCATGATGGTGGGGGTGTTCATTTTGTTGCAACTATGTGGCAATATGTCTGCATCTCTTGCATTTCATAGGCATTCCAACCGAAGCAGCATTTGTTCCAAAGGAAACTTTTGCCTCCTCTAGGTCCCGCTCAGGGCCCGGCCCCATGGCACTTTATAGGCTTAGTTATCGTCATGTGACTTTTTCCCTAAATAGTCGTGTCAGTGGACATTTATACAAATAGGACCGGGACCGGAGACACATTTAGCAAAAAAGGAACGAGACTTGATTAGAATGGAAAATATGAATGATATCCTCATTGTTAACTTCTTGATACTGACGACATGCTAGTCAATTTGGCAGTTGGAGGCATGTACACACACGTACATGTACACCCATGTTAGCCCGAACCTTGAGGATAGAAGCCATAGACTTTGTATTTAACTATGACTCAGCGATAAAAACTGGAAACATTAAAGTAATGGAGAGACATGTTTGATAGTGTGTTGGTATCATTGCTACAGTACATGTAATTTGCTACCGTGTACCCACAAAACAATTTCAGTTGCATGCTGGTAGGTAGCTTGCTTATAGTGTTGGGCACCATTGGCAGAATTGTGATTGTGGAATTGTTTGCACTCACATTTATTTCAACATTGCTCTATAAAGACACATAGGTAGTACATTGCTATACTTAAAGACGAGACTGCACGTATTTAGATTCAAAATGCATTAAAACAATTAAATAATTACACAGAACAAATAATATTAACACTTGAGCACAAAAACAGAGGGCAACATCTGGGTAAGTGGGTGAAGCTAAAAGCTTTTGTACCCCCACCTAGCTCTGACAAGGACAAGGACTATACACACATCAGATATACAGGAATGAGACAAGACTTTATCATGGCTGAATCCATCTATCTGATGGGTATATTGTATAATAATTAAGTGGCATCACAAATTTACCAATATGTATTAAGTAGTGTCATTTTCAGTTTTTTGGCAAATGCAGGCAGAGTTGGCAATGATTTTAAAGCGTCATTCAGTTTGTTCCAAATTGAAATGCCATGATTAATGAGACTATTTCTATTTAGGGCTTTTCTACTGAATTTAACATAGAGATGCTTTCTGAATGCACTTCGAGTATTACTGGTATGAACATTTGATACTAAGGTGAAACATGCATTAAAACAAGATGGTAATACATTATTCGTATACATTACATTTATACATAAATTTGCATAAACAAAATTCATACAAATCGTTAAAAGGTAGGATTTTGAGTTTGCAAAAAATGGCGCAGTACGATCACACTAACCAGCCTTAACACTGATACGTACAGCTCTTTTTCGCAACTTCAGGATTTGTTTAGCAATTGATGTAGCCCCACCCCATGATCGTGCGATCATTAGTGCAGGACTCCATGTTATCATTTGAACAACAGAATGGTGCCTGGAATTCAGGCCGACAGCGTAGATCCTCTGCCCATGCAAACTACACGTAGTCATGCTAGTGCACTGCCTGTCATTCCTTTTATTCTTGTAAATGTAGCCTGCTGTCTACATGTATAGTTTTGCATAAATGTAGGTTTCTTTATTGTGATTACGTTCAGCAAGCCAATTCTGTCTTTCCAAAAGTAAAAATAACATCACTGTCAGGGGGGTATGTAATCCTTACTTTTGACAGATTTGATAAGTGAGATTAGACGAGATACTTTTAGAAGCTCTGTGTTCTGAAATAGTTATGCAACCCAATGTGTATTTTATTGTAGGGTCAGGGTACATCTGAGCTGTGGTTGTGTTGAGTATTGTACATGTTCTTTACGGGAACAACCTGTAAACGTTCAGCTGATTATCACAGTGACCTTTGGCCTTTGCGGATCATCTTCCCATACAGATGTTTGTGTTCATTGATATTCAATTTGATAAATATATGTATCTGGCTTACCAGACTTAGTGTAACTCATTTTCACAAACCAAGGGAACTAATGGCCGCAGTCTGAGTTGAGACCATTTACTGATGTACGTGGACGGGGCTGATGGGAATTGTTTTAGATGTCGATTTTTTTTTCCAATTGAAATGACATATTGAACAATTGCAGGTGGGCAGGCTATGAATTAGCAAATGATTCTTGAGTGTCTGACAACTGCAAAGAGATAGTGACCAATCATTACATGTGTACAGCTTTGAGAAACTTTCGGGGAAGGGCGTAAGGAGCTATGGTGAAATATTTTCATTTTTTAAACTGACATGCTGGTATGTTTCTCCGGTATGCGCAGCGTGCATATTTTATTCTCTCTGTTTTCAGGAAGCGGTAATGTTCATTAAATGTACGTGTGTATGTATTGTTGTTTCTAACTGGTTCGTCTCTTTGTGATATGATATACCCGGTACATGTGTAACCTACCCTCACATTCACCTGTTTATACTGGTATTATGACATGATGCATTACCAATGTACAACTTTTTGTAATTGGGTATTGTGTAATGCAGAGTTCTGCTGATTTGTCTTTGAAATATTCTCATTGTTGCATTGTATTCTTTACTTGATGTGCACCATTATTTTGATATACCGGTACATGTAAGGCTGAAAGGTCGCAGCCTTTACTGCATGTTTTCATCAAGCTAAATTGTAGCCTGACTGCTTTGGGTTTTCCTCAGCATTTTAGCTGCTCATAGCAATTTGTTTTTAGCCTGAGTTGACTGCATACATGTATTATCACATGCTATGTTCTGGAAATTGGAACCTCATAAAGCCATATCCTCTAGCACAGAGGCAGTGCAGTTTTAACTTAGCCAGAAGTAAAACACATTTTGACGTGGGCAGATTTTCTTGCCGGGTGTTTCACTGGAACAATTTGCTTTGAATTCAGTGAAGTGTGAAGTAACCCCTACATGTACATGTACAGTAGATGTTGTGAAACAGCCTAGGGTGTACATGTACATGTATTAAATGGTCATGTCAGATTTACATACGTGTACATACATATTATTAATTTATCTTATTGACTGTGACCACGAAATGAGGTTGTCTGGCAATATGAATTATGGGAGGTCATTGTTTCCCATCTTTGTAGGGGTTCAATTTTGTGACAGGAGTTAAGAGACCAAGATTTATGAAAGTTCAGACATTCCAAAAGAGAAATCATAGAAAATGTTTGAACTGTTTAATGCTTGTGCATGATATTTATTTTGTCAAGTTGTGCTGAATTTGTATCTGAGTAACCACTTTTCAGCATAAATTGAAACCAGTCAAGTTCCCCTTGCTTTCTTTGCGCATTATTTTTATTCATGAACATATATTAAAGGAATACGGCTTAGTGGTTTGTGTTTTTGACTCAAGAAAAGAGAGTTGGGTTCAAATCTAGCTGGTTGCACGTTGTGACCTTGAGCAATTCACTCTGCCCAAGTTGCTTTCCACTTTAAAACAGTATAAATAAGTACCTGAGGGTACCGATAGAGACTGGTTTTATGCTGGTATTGGCTGCCAGAATTGGTCTTTTATGAAGAGAGCGGATAATGATTATGTGATAGTACCTTGAGCAGTCATGTGGCTGAATATGTCAGTTTTATAAGTACACAAAACACATTATTATTTAACTTTTTAGGTTCTTATGTTTGTGTTCCATACTGTTCCTGCTACTAGTTTCCAGCAATTTTTTTCCCACCTGTGATCAACAGTTGTAATGTGGAAATTGTTCATTCTGAGGTAATATCCCATTTTTCTTCCTCAGAGGGACTCACTGTAGAAGCAAAGGTACATTACTTTTTAGCCAGTTTCAGAATTCAAAATGTGCTTGTATCCTGGGAGAATTAACAACCTTTTCTGTTTTTCTCTTCCACACAGGGAATATCGGGCTGAGCTGAAAGATGAAATTACCAAGTTGAAAGCAGAGAACCCTGGCTTTGCCCCAGGACTGGCCATTGTGCAGGTTTGTGCATAAAGTTGTTACATGGCCCAACAAATTCAGACAGAAGTTACATGTACTAGAGTGATTTGATTTTAGATATAGCTTTTTCAGATTAATTGTACCATTGATTGTTATCTGAAAACAACCTGACTCCCTTCAAAATTACTTTGTTAAAGAGCACCTCTAAGGAAAACATTTTCTCTGATTTTATCTATTCAAATAAATATGGAAGCATCCAAATCTAACGCAGTGTCATTTGTCTTCAGAGCTCAACTACAAAAAACTTAAAACTTATTTTATAAGGGTTTTTTGGGGGGCTCATGCCAACATGTGAATTCTGGATGTAGATTGCGTTATTTGGAGAAAACAGAGAAAATTAGGGGGATCCTCCCCTGCGTTTGTAGTGGATAAACCCTTGTGTGTGCCAAACAATCGCTACAAACAATGGCTACACGCATTATTTGGCATGCACAAGGGTTTATCCACTACGAACGGAGGGGAGGGTTCCTGCTGTTTTTTCTTTTTTCTCCGAATGATGCAATCTACGTTCGGAATTCGTATCTTGGAATGAGCAGAAAAAAAAAACTTTTAGCTTGTTATAGTTGAGCTCTGAAGACAAATGACTTCGCGTTCGATTTGGATGCTTCCATATTTATTTGAACAGAAAAAATCAGAGGAAACATATTTTCCTTAGAGGTGCTCTTTTACTTGAAGCACTTAAAATAGTTTATGCAGTTTATATAGTTTATGAGTTACTCCCATTTCAAAAAGAGAAACTTTATTTCTGAGCAAACTGAGGTTTTGACAAATTCATCAGAAGTTATTTAATTTGTTATTTTTGCCTAGATTACCTAGCCTGTTGAAACAATTTAATAGTCACTACTTGTTGAAAAGGAGCATATGGAACATGACACAGCCTTTGATTATATCTGTCGCACTGAGACTTTGTCATATTTCGATTGTATGAGCAATTATCTGCGGATTATTTCCTAATCATCATGGAAGAAACTAGATATTTTTAATACTTAGTGTTCATTTGTTGAGGTAATCTGCTTCATTCTACAGATTGGTGACAGGGATGATTCCAATCGGTACATCAAGCACAAGCTGGCAGCAGCAGAAGAGGTAGGTTGCTCACAAAAGTATTTCTGAAAATACAGCTGTTTCTAAAATTGGAACATCTGTTTTCAAGTTAAAAGTTTAATATATTCAAAGACCACATGCACGATTTGGATATGGTTGGCTGTTCAGTAAGCATATTGTACAAATGTACTGAGTTTTGCATACGAAGAAATTATTGAAACATTGGTGGTTTTACTGAGATTTGTGTGACCGAACTTTTAATAGAATTTGGAGCAGAGCATACAAAAGGAAGGCTACATTTGAGTGTTATTAATCTAATGTGCTTCATAAGACCCATTTGAAAAGCTTTGCCAGTGCAGCCTCTCTCTGGATCCAACTGTGAAAAGGTCCTCAGTTCTGTTCAGCATTGACATCACATGATTGGTCAGGTGTGCCTGTATGCATAGACATGTACATGTAGTATAACACTGCCCTTGCAACTGACATCTGACCTGCCAAGTGACCAACACAGATGAATTACAAAAGAAAACGATTGCTGGCAATTGATCAGAATATCAACTTGCCATGCATGCATATTACACCTTTGACTTTTCGTTAAAGATTACAGAGGTCAACTTGAATATTGCTCACTGTTTACCATTTTGTGATGGTTTAGATTGGTATCACTGCCAACCATTACAAGCTACCAAGGGAATCAACAATTCAGCAGGTTTGCCACTTCTTTTTTTTTTTATTTAGAAATGACCTTTGAAATAGCCATTTTCCCCTGTATTTTGTTTGTTACTTTGGCTAATTATTTGTTTTAAATAGCCTCTGTTATTGTATATCATAAGGTGAAATATATTTGTAGAAGGATAGAAGCGAAAGAAATTGAGAAAAAAAGGGGCGATGAATCTCAAATTTGCTTTATAAAAAAAAATCAAAATTGACCCCATTTCCACTGTCAAGGGTTTATCACTTCAAAGTTGATAAGTGCTTTGTTCTTTGCCTCCCCCCATAAAATTTTTCTGCGGAAAAAAAAACTGTTTTCCCCGTCACCTAGAAAAAAAATCTGGTGATGACAGTAGTGCTAGAGAAAGCATTTGGGTTGCTTTTATTATAAGCATAAACGCCTTACCAGTCACAGGTCGACAAACAGGTCTGCTGTGCACATGCTCACCCCTGTAAAATTCTGCTTGGCAAATTGTGTTTGGGCATTAGGGAGTTTTTGGTGCTAACAAATCCAAAACATAAAGCCAGTGCTTATCACAGGTGTATTAACAGAAAGAGGAAAATGTCCGTTAAGTTTTGTGTCCTTTTTCATCGGCAGGTGCTAAACAAGATCAACGATCTAAACAATGACCCCACAGTCCATGGGATCATTGTCCAAATGCCACCCGACTCGGAGGTGCCTATGGACCAAGACACACTGGCCAATGCTGTCGTCCCTACCAAAGATGTTGACGGGTCAGTAGGCATATCTGTCCAGTGGAGTCATGTCGGGGGCCAGTTTCATGGAATTGTTTCAGCTATTAAATTTGCTAAGCACAGAGAACACTTGCTTAAGGGGTTACCGGTCACAAAGTCGCAGTATGTGCATTGGTTGTGACTGGTACCCTGCAAACCTTGCCTAGCATGTACGTTTGCTGAGCACAATTTTTGTCGTGTCCAACTTACTTGGCAGGAGCTTGAAGTAACATACGACTCCATAGCCATCACCCATAACCTGAGTAATTTCAAGCAGCAGCCAAGTGATTCAGACGTAGACTTACTTTTTAACAGCACTATGAAGTTGGGTCCAGAATCAGCCAGTTTCATTAAGGCACATGGGGGAATTCTTAGTAACATCTTGGCTAATAATGTACATAATCAGTATACATACTTTTTGTTTTTAATTTCTGTCCCAAATAGGAGCATGTGCCGTGCTTGTGCGATTTTTCTACAGCAAGCATTTATGCATGTTATATATTTCTCTCTGCTTCCCATTCAGTGTAATTAAGTTCAGATCTGAAAAAGTACCAGGTTTGGGGGAGAATCTAAAGTAGTGAGTTGGGATGGGGAGAAGAAAGAGAAACAAGGAGATCACATTATTCAGAAAAGGGCTATGGAAAGTCTGTAAGATTGCAACCCTGGTTTAAGGGAAGTTTTAAATCAATTTATTTTTTACTTCTCTGACTTCAGGTACGCAACTTTTCCTCCGATCAGCCGATTTCCTTGTTTCTTTTGTGTGCCTTTGCAAATTGACAAATACTGTACAAAGTTTCCAGTTGCACGCCAGCTGTGCATGTTTACCGTTACCAGATTTTCGGCACTATATCCAACTTGTATGATGCCTTTTACAGGAACTACAAATGTCGTAGTGACACTAGAAAGTATCACAACCCTCTACAACTTTGTTCAGCAAAAGAAACAAATATATCAACGAAGCTGTCTGTACCTGAGTTCGTGCACTCAACCACTAAACAAAGCACTGCTTTATGATCATACATTGTGGAGTTATGAGGATGCTATCCGGTTCTATTTCAGCTGTTGTTTTGTAGTACATTTTTCGTGTGTCTTCAGGTTGCATGTGCACAATGCCGGTAAATTAGCCAGAGGAGAACTGGATTCCTGTTTCATTCCTTGTACGCCTAAAGGCTGCATGGTGCTCCTGGAACGCAGCGGTACGTCAAGAAAACAATTCACACCATCGGTTGTTAATATGTGACCAGCTCTGGCAAAACCTGACGCTTCTTACTATTTTCTGTTACTCAGTATGGTTCTGCAACATTAACAAATTCCATTTCAACTGTAATTTCAATTCCAACATCTTTATCAGATTTTATTCAAACTTCCTCAAAAACAAATCAAATGACAATATGTTGTTTGTACATACATTACATTGATTCCAAATTCTGATCTTGAATTTCACCCCATGTATTGGGTTTTGCTAGAGCTGGTTACGTATGCTGTGGATATGGCTCAAGTAAGATCATTAGTTTTCATCAGTGCAGAACTTTGAAAGACACCAGGTCACAAGCAGGTGAATTGGTGAAGAAGCAAAATGTAACCTGCCCAACAAAACAAATTGAAAGTCACAGCAGCTACGTCCGAGTTAAAAGCCTCTAAATCTTGCAAGATGGTAATCCAATCCTGAACAGTGGTAATCCATAGGAATTGTTAACATCGTCAGGCATTTATCAGAGTTGCAAACTGAGGGATGTATCATAACAAATGCACACAGAAATACACTCACTGCAAATTTGGCCTCAAGACTCATTTTCTGGCATCGAATCACACACATGCTTTGGTTGAAGTTTGACGAAGATTCCGTTTCACAGGCACAGAGCTTCACATCTTCAGTATGAATAAATGAGTAAAGTTTACCTAATGGTTTATTCTTCCGTTCCATGCAACTTCAAATCAGGCGTGAAAGTGGAAGGGAAACGTGCTGTGGTGATGGGCCGCAGTAAGATCGTTGGTGCGCCGATGTCTGACTTGCTCCGAGGTCATCATGCAACGGTTACTGTCTGCCACTCACGCACCCAGTATCCTGCCTCTGTGGTGAGTGGATTCTGTGATTGAGAGCATGCTTTTCTGTCTCATTATAAGGAAAAGTATCATTTCAATCATGAGAATGTTAAGTAAACGTTGAACATCTGCACCATGCCATTTAGATCCCCCATCTTTGCCTTACAAAAATTAAATATTTAAGTTTTCACCCCCTTTTACAAATGTAGTTCACTGTATTTGCAGACATATACTCTCTAACCTGTGCCTTAACACGTAGATAATTCACACAAATTGTTTTGGGTATTAAGTATTCTTATCAATTTTGAAATATTGAAGTGAATAGTTTGTATCACCCAACAGGTCGCTGAGGCCGATATTGTGGTCGTTGCCATCGGCAAAGCACGCATGGTCAAGAGAGATTGGATTAAAGATGGCGCTGTTGTGATTGACTGTGGCATCAACTTCATCGAAGGTAAGTAGCAGATCTAGCCAAAGACTAGCCAGTCCCTTCAGATGGATATATGGGGCAATTCTGCAAGTTTAGAACTGTCTTGAATTCCCATGGAATTTTTTATTTGATCCTTCCTGAACGCTCTGTCCACCAAGCACGGACATATTGGATAAGTCGTTGTTCTTGTAATTTCAAGAGGTAGCAAACCCCAATTATAAAAAAAGTGATACAGTTGTTTAGACCCACTGCACTTGTGAGCAGGATGTTTGGGGTTCATATCCCACCAAATTAAGTTCGTGAACTTTGCTCAGAAGCTTTTAGACGGCACTGATGTACGGCATTTTCTTAATCAGTTACAGAAAGGCAAAATGAAGTGTTAGATTTTGTTAAGGTGTTCATCTCAGGTAATGATTCATTGAAAGCAACGTTTCATCGAATACAGTAAAGAAACTTTCTTGGGGGAAATCCCCATTGATGAGAAAGCATTTCCTGTCAAATCATTTCTTCTCTCCAGACGCAACCACCAAGAGCGGCCGGCGCCTTGTCGGCGACGTGGATTATGACGACGTCAAGGGCGTGGCCTCTCAGATCACGCCAGTGCCCGGTGGCGTGGGACCCATGACGGTTGCCATGCTGATGAGCAACACCTTGGAAAGTGCCAAGAGGGAACTGCTAAAAGCCCAGAAAAACGTTAGTCAGTAAGAAGAGGATGACTGGCATAGTTCATGCACAACAAGGTCCCCTCAAGGGCGCTAAAAAAAACAAAAAAAACACAAAAAGAAGACAACCAGACTTTGGTCTGTGGAAGTGTATTCCAAATTTTGTTATTCTTGGTACCAGACTTATTTAAATACTGATGGATATGCTCCTTATGGAAAACTTGGACAGCATGGAAGTGTGATGTGATTATTGTAGGTTTTTACAAATGGCTGTGTATTCACGAATCTAAGTCCTCTTGCAATTACAGGATTTCCAAATTTTGTGGGTTTTTATATCCTTTCTTACTTGAAATAAGATTGTTAGTGTGCCAATAGTTTTACATATGGTAAAATTGCCTCCTACCTTGTCAAACCCCACTTACTTCCCCAGTATTATGGAGAAAGTTGCTTAAAATAAATTAAGATTTGTGGGAAGCCATCAGCATCAATGTACATGTAATTCAAACAAGAAGAAAAAACACTGTAAATCATTGACATGTGCTAAGTTAACTTAACAACTGTTTTTGGAAAGCAAGTATTATGGTTAAGAAGTGGGGCCATTTTGACTTTCAAAGCGCCCTCAAGAGGATCTTGTACAGTGGCCTGTGCCTGTGATCCATAGTAGTATTTAATTGCTGCATGCATCATCATGGAGTACCAAAGTGTGACATCCGATTTTACCAGAAAGTGTAGTGCAGACGAATGGAGTACCAATGTGTGTTAGTTCATGCGCTGGTTCTCGCTCTAATGCCTTTTACACAACATGATTGTGCGCATGACGTATCCACTTTGGTCCTCTACAATGCCAAAGTTAGCAGTCGCAATTTTTTCCCCACTCCAAAACACTGCAGCTGTCAAGTGCTAAATATGATGATTCATTGAAGAGATTGTTGCTGCATTAGGGTTTGATTTCTTAACGTAGACTTTGATTGATTTTCAGTCAGGGTAGTTTGAACAAGTATTCAGATAATTTGGGAAGTGATTAATGTTTTGCCATGAACACAGTACTTTTAAATTATTTGTGAAGTGTAATGATTTGGGGTCCTAATTAAGTGAGTACAACTTTCCCGAAAAATCAGGGAGTCAATTTTTTGTGAACTTGTTTGATAGCCTCACAGTTAAGCCAAAACTTCTTGCTGAATAAAACGTGAAGCACTTGATGAAAATAAATTTCAAGTCGAGTATTATACCATTATTTCAAATCTTTGAAAGACACACTATTGACATTGACAAAATGTACGGGCAAGTTGCACGTGTATTAAATATGAATGTGTCCATTTTTTTACTGACATTGGGACTGGGGCGGAATTCACTCCCCCTTTTTCTTTGAGAAGGTTCAAAAGACTCTCTTGAGATTAAATGACTGAAATGCTTCCAAACCTAATGGGCCCTGTTGTGCAGTGTGAGAAGTGTATTTTGTCAGCAGCAGCGGACATTGTTTTGTAGTAAATTCAAACAGAAGGGGCACTTTCATTTTTCATAATGCACATGTGGTACTCTTCAGAAAATTTAAAGTCACAAACGTTGAGTTGACTCTGTACAGATTTATACATATTGACTTCAACATTATCGCTTGAAGTCAGATCTGCCAATCTACCGAGTGGCATTACGAGCAATTTGCATTCCCTCTGCATTGTGTGTCGCTGAAACTCGTCCTGCATTTGTACCCATTGTACTAGGACTTCCCTCTGAAAAAATGGAATACTCCTTTATTCATGAAATAGAACCAGAAATCACTGAAGTGTCTCTTTGTGAAACACCAAAATTCGTACCACTCCACATCCTCACAGTCCCCAAATTAGTGACATTTGTGTGTAAAGTTCCAGAGAGGAAATGAGACTTTTGAACTGTTTAATGTTGTGTAGGGTGAGTAGTTAACAACTTGGAGAAAGAATGTTTGCCCGTGGTGTGGAGGGACTTTGTGGCTCATTTGAGTTGCATATTGGGCCCCTTTCTTAACCACTGCTACTCCATTTCAGAGTTTCCACAGGGACACGCTTCACTGGTTTGGCAGATGCTACCTATCTGTATTTCAATGAATTGGGGGGGATATGTCCAGTGTATTGGCAGGTGAACTCCTATGAGTAATACCATATGAAGCAAGATATGGGACGAAGAACCCCCCCCCACCTTTGTGTAGGTCATTGATTGGAATCTCAGGAATTCTTTACAGACATCTAGGGGGGATGTGTTAGGTAACAACAGGCTAGAGTGATTATAGGGATTGGACATGTAAGAAGGGATATCCCTCCACCCCATATCTTGCCGGGTATAGGTATTACTGCCAAAGGTATCACTGGACGGAGGCACATGTACACCCAGTGCTGGATACATGCAATGTGCTCATGTGTCTTTCCAATCATGAAATTACATTTCACATGTGGTTGGAATTTCTTTGGACCTTTGCACTTGCTCTGTTTTTCCAATTACAATCCAGACCCCATTGGATGAATGGTGGCAGCTATGTGAGAATCATACAATATTTGGATACTCGAAGCATTTCTGTGCTTGGGTTGAATCGTTCCTGGAACTTGGTATTCTTGGCTTTGTGTTTGTTTTGTTTGATTTATGCTAATTTGTCAAAGTTGGGCATAATATTTTCAAGCATAACTACTGAGTGTAGCTAAATGATTAAAAAAAATCATTGAGAGTGCTGTGAATTCTTTGCATTGTGTTAAAGTTGATTTTATTACTGAACATATTTTAATTTTCTGTTATTGATTCATCTTATTTGAACAATAATTGCATTATTGCCAGCATTTGCTTACCAGTTACATGGTTGAAAGTTTGGGCTAGAAAGCAGTAAGCATTTTCACTTTGAGGATAAGAGGATTCTTTGTGGGATAAGTTTTTTATAGGGAGGAAAAAAAATGGAAAAATGATGGGACTTTTAAAAAATGACCAAATCTCAGCAAGTGTTGTTTGGCATAATTTGGATGAAGGTGGGCAGAACTTTGGAGGGGTTAAACTTCTTGGCATCTGATTCAGGATTTGCTTAAGTGAAATAATCAAATATTGATGGATGTTGAATATATCAGTGATCTGAAATAAGATTTCATTGCAATTCTGTTGGAATTATTGTGAGCTGGGGAGCTGTCTTGTAAAATATGCTCTTTCAGACCAGGTAAAGACAAGTTTGAGACATCAAAGTATTACTGAATGTCATCTTTTTATAGAGCAACCTGTGGAAGATGAGGTACCTTCCCCTTTCACCTCTGGATCCAGTTCCCTCTGATATTGACATCTCCAGGGCCCAGACACCTAAGGATGTTTCTGAGCTTTCTCAGGAGTTGAACCTTATGCCTTCTGAGATTGACTTCTATGGCAAGAAGAAGGCCAAGGTCTCACTGAGCATCCTGGAACGCCTCAAGGACCAGCCTAATGGGAAGTATGTCGTGGTTGCAGGGTAAGTAGTTGCATCACTGCCTTCATCGTGGAGTTCATCTTGGATTTAGTGTCGGAGTACAACCAGAGTTTTAATCAAGTGCGGGTTGCAAGTCGCCCCAAATCACAAGTCACTCAACCCTAGGTCAACTCGCAAATTAGCTTAACTGAACTTTGACAAATGCATTGTTTTGTCATTGATAGAGAGTGTAAACAGTGTCTGGAGAATATTTTGTGGAGAATATTTGTTGTTGATTTCAACTTTTTTAGCATAACCCCCACACCCCTGGGGGAGGGAAAGAGCACCACCACCATCGGACTGTGCCAGGCCCTGGGGGCACACCTCAAGAAGAACGTCTTTGCCTGCGTCCGTCAGCCGTCCCAGGGGCCTACGTTTGGCATCAAGGGAGGTGCAGCAGGAGGTGGCTACTCACAGGTCATTCCAATGGAAGAGGTATGCACACAGCCAGTAGTTGCAAGCTTTTAAAACAGCTCCCTCTCTCTTTGGACTCCATCTGTACTGAAACTGAGAAGACAGGGAAAGTGGAAAGACTAGAGAACACTCTTACAGTTACATAGGATCTCAAATGTCAATTTCAGGGCACTGCTTAAGGGCACTACGTCACTCTGAGTACTGAAAATGAAAGACATCTTGTCTAAGTGTTCAGGTGAGTTCCTCTCGTACAATTGCACTTTATTTGTGAACATTCAGTTGAAGATAAGCAATACGCTCTGAACACCAATCAGGTACAAAACTTGATTTTGCTGTTGCTTGATACGAATGGACGCCAGTTTTGAGCAGTTAAGAGACATGGCAAAAGTCCTTAACTTTAGTTTTGCACTTTGTTGATAAAGTTTAGTGAACATTGCAAACTGAGTGTTACTTGATGGCTTATGTGAAAATTTTTGACTTCCTGGTGACGAGTCGGGCTGTGGTTGAGTCCATCACAAAGCATCAAAACTAAACCTAAGTCACAAGCTATCTTGATGAATTTTGACAGAAGCATTCCTTTGGCATTGTACACCGTCATTCCTATTGCTTGTGAGTGGACTTGTGATAGTTTCAACCACAGCTCTTCTGACTAGTATAAACGCCGCAGTTATTTGACCTAAGAGTTGCTGGGGGGTTGGCTGGTTCAAATCTGATATAGCACATTGAAATTTTGTTTTCTGTTTGTGTTTGCATTTCCAACTCTCTCTTTGGTTTTCCCTTTTTTCCCCTCAGTTCAACCTTCACTTGACGGGCGATATCCATGCCATCACTGCCGCCAACAACCTCCTGGCTGCCGCCATTGATGCCAGGATGTTTCACGAAGCCACGCAGACGGACAGCGCTCTCTATGGCCGGCTGGTGCCATCCAAGAACGGAGTCAGGAAATTTTCACCGATTCAGCTGAAGAGACTCAAGGTGGGCCATAAATTTTTTTTTCCCACTTCCCCAACCATTTCTTTGGTGTATCCATTGAAAAGCAACTGGGATTCTTAACCCATAGGAGATATTTTTTGATGTAGGCATTGTGTCAAAAGATTAAAGGACAGTTGGTAATATCAACAGTAGTGCCAGGTTTGTAGTCTCCAACCCCATAGGTTAGATGGTGAGCAGAGACCGGCTTGTTCATCCTTGGATTATACTGAGAATGCTGACATTTTTCCCATGGAATTTCCTCAATTCTCTAACCATTAGGTTTGCGAGTTCCTTTGAGCATGCCTAGAGAAATACAACTTGAACATTGTCTGCATAAAATCTTTGGTTTTAGGGGGTTCCAGGGGATGGAGCCAGGATTTTCAGAAAGGGAGGGGGACATGAACTTGGAAGGTCAAATGTGATGGCACAGTGCCAAGTCCTTAGTTATGGTGTGAATCGTTTACATTTCATTGTCATGGAGGAGGTTTGTGGAGGCGTGTGTCCAGTGCAGTCACAGAGTTGTTGCTTGTTATGTTGATAGAAACTTGGTATTGACAAGACCAACCCTGATGAACTGACAGAAGATGAGATCCGCAGGTTTGCTCGTCTGGACATCGATCTGTCAACACTCACCTGGCAAAGAGGTAGATTTTATTGTTCTGAAACAAATAGTATCTAGTTTACAAGCATAGAAGAGTGTTCCTTGCACCATAGATTTACGATCTGCTGTCTGACCTAAGGAGGCACATTATGAAACAGGACTGTTCAGGCTTGTATAGGTGGCTTGCCCCTCTGTTCAGTGGCAAAGGGGGGGTTACCTTATAGATGTCCTGTCATAAGTTTTGCCAATTTCTGATTTCGGACTGTTGAGCTGTCTGAGCTGCAATTTCAATGTCAGTAGGATTACACTTTGTTCTATTGTTTCCAACATATTGGCAGTAGAAAAACCTGAAATAAGGCCAAATGAAAACGGGAACTGGTTACACTCACCTACATTCTTTTTTGAAACCACATCTTTTTCTCCAATTTCATGCTCCCTCCTCCCCATAGTTTGACTTAAAATCGTGTCAGAGAGTGGTGCCACTGATACTCTTCGGATTAGTTCACAAAAGCGCCCTCAGGTGTCATGGTACCACTGCAATAGAACATGTGTGGATTATTGGTAAAATGCTGAATACAAGGCTTGCAGTCTTCATGAAGCGAAAAAGGTCAGGCATTTTAAGTTTAAATTTAAAGCTCTCAGCTCTCATTTTTGAAAAACTATTTTAAAAATCATAACAAGGCCTCCCAGGCTCCCCATTGTGAAATACCGTGAATGGGGAAGTTTTTTCAACTGACTTAATCATGTAATAATTACGTCTTGCACATGAGTTCCACTGTTGTACAGTCATTTTACATGATGGACAAAAGTAAGTGATTGGTCATGTTGACATCGACAGTGATTGACACCAACGACCGCTATCTGCGCAAGATCACCATAGGTCAATCACCGACGGAAAAGGGCATCACCCGGGAGGCACAGTTCGACATCACAGTGGCCAGCGAGATCATGGCCATCCTGGCACTGACCACTAGCCTGGCTGACATGCGGGAGCGGCTGGGACGGATCGTAGTGGCCAGTAACAAGGCAGGGGAACCGGTGACTGCGGAGGATGTGGGGGTTAGTGGGGCCCTGACGGTGCTGATGAAGGACGCCATCAGGCCCAATCTCATGCAGACGCTGGAGGTGGGTCAGTTTTTTGTACGGTCTCCACGCAGTCATTCAAGACGTTCTGAAAGAATTAAAGAGATGCCACGTTGCTACTGCTGGTGCAAAAATCATCTTTCATGAACTGTAATAGTGCCCTCTCTTGTTCTTAAAAGTTGGACAAGTATCATGGCGTTTATTGCAGATAAGGAAGTAAAAAACTTTCCAACCTTCATGGTTAAGCGTTAAAATGCACCACATTATTAATTATTACTATTAATCATTTCTGGTAATGACACAAAAGATTCCTCAGAAGTGCCCTAGGCACTGTAGCTTGCAAGCCTGAAGAAACTTGTAGAGAGGAGACAGTGAGGCGCAGTTACAGTTTTACAGAGGCTGTATTAGGATCCTACAATTTTTCATTATGGCTGCCAGCTGCTTGACCTAGTATTTTCACACCATATCTTGTTCTGTCATGAAAAAAAATGAAATTACAAGGAAGTCCCTCGGCAGCTGATGTCAGAATTTTTCGAATCACTGACCAAATTATTTACCACTTCATATCCACCCTCTCAGGGGACCCCTGTGTTTGTGCACGCTGGGCCGTTTGCCAACATCGCCCATGGCAACTCATCCATCTTGGCTGACATGATTGCCTTGAAGCTGGTTGGAAAAGATGGATTCGTTGGTAATGGAGAACTAGAATTGATAATGTAATTCTATGGCTGTTGCAAAATATGTTTGTATTCCACTGTCATAAGAAGGCTACATGCCTAGTTGAGTTGAAATTCAATCTCAATTTCTTTATTCAGCAGAATGTACAATGAATTTCTTACCTTACTTTTCTATTTAAGTTTCAACTTATAAATGGCAAGTCTGGTAACCTGTCTCATTTCAAAAAGGTGAAGTCATTCAAGAACATAGCACGCGAACGTGAACATGCCCATGTACATGTAAATTGGCATACGGCAATGCAGATTAGGCTGACCTCATGTTCTTAAATTGCTAATGACTTCCATACTTCATTTTTGGCATACACTGTTGCTCACAGGTAATCATTGTGTAGTAAGAGTCAGAGGCAAATCTTACATTGCTTTGACTGTACTATCTTAGTTTTGGAAGACCAGTGGAACATAAAACTCTTAGGATAACAAATTTGTACGAATAATTCTGTATGAGCTTTATCAGGCAACAGTTGTTTTCATCAGTCACTTAATATTTATGAAAATGCACTTAATAAAAACAGGTTATGTATGTTGTCAGGTTTAAGTTTTCAATGCTTGGTAGCGAATTTACTGTCATTTGGTTTATTTGTAAAATGTTCAAATATTTTTTCGGCATCATTTTTTTTTTACAGTGACCGAGGCAGGCTTTGGTGCAGACATAGGTATGGAGAAGTTCTTCAACATCAAGTCTCGTTACTCCGGTCTTCAGCCAAATGCTGTGGTGTTAGTTGCTACAGTACGGGCACTCAAGATGCACGGTGGGGGACCAACGGTATGCTGCCATTTTCTCTTACATTTTTTTGGGGGGTTAACATTTGTCTAATTAATTGGTGTAGAGTTTATCTATTCAAAGTAAGATTTTTAAAGAGAATTTTATCATATAGCTCTTTTCAGGGAAATCTGTCCAAACACTTTAATATGTCCCCTTTGTTTGACAAGATGCTTGTTCATATTTGGCACAAATGTAATCGAAAAAGCATCTTTGTAACATCAAGGCAAATATTTATGTTGCAAACTATGCAAAGTTCAACATATTTCATCTTTGGCAAATTTCACCGTTAACATTAAAATGTCTCGTTATTTCTATAATTTATAAATGAATCTGCCTTCAGGTAGTTAACTTGTAAAATTAAAGACACTTTTTTCTTACACATTGAGAAGATGTTTCTTTTATGAGTAACTTTGATAACCAGCCATCTTGTCAGAATTAAAGTAACACGTACATGCTTATATGACCATTGTATTTTACAAAAGGAGGTTACAGTGTCTTGTACCGACTAACTGGTTCACTGTTTTCATATCTCGTAAGGTTTCAGCAGGCCAGCCCTTACCCAAAGAATACAGCGAGGAGAATCTGGACTTGGTCCAGGAAGGGTTCTGCAACCTCCGCAAACAGATAGAGAATGCTTCCTTCTTTGGTGTACCTTGTGTGGTAGCCATCAACAAATTCAAGTAAATTGCAAGTTTTGTTCCAAAAGTCTTGGATAAGGCAATGACCCGAGCCCATTGTCTGGTAAGCTGGTCTTCACTTGGCCAGCTTAGAGCAACATGCTTAACAGCACAGGCTACCCTGCTACATTCACCAGTGCATCAGTCAAAGCTTAACATGCATGCATCTCTGCCCAAACTATGTCCAAAATGCAGACTACATGTCAAGGAAATTTGTATTTGCAGTACACCGTGGTGTCATGTTTCCTCTTTAAGGATTCTTTTCATCTCAGAATACTTTCCATTGAAGCAGTGCTATTCTGTGGAAATTATTCAACAGATTCCAGTCACTTATTCCAGAAATCTAACTTTCCCCACATTTATTTTGAAAGTCCCCAGAGACTATTTAAACCAACCCCAGGCAAGCTGTGCATTTTAAGCCGGCCTTAACACTAAGACGTCATTGCGATGGTCTAACGCACAGACCAGCCAAGAGCTAACTCCTTTTAAGACCGGCTAACATGCACAGCTGCTGAGCTTTGCCCCCATTTCTTCCAACTCTAGATCTGACTCTGAGAAGGAGGTGGAGTTGATTCAGCGCCTGGCCAGGGAGGCAGGTGCATTTGACGCAGTCATGGCCACTCATTTCAGTGAGGGAGGTGCTGGGGCAGCTGCTCTGGCAGGTGCACTGGAGAAAGCCTGTCAACAGCCAAGTGACTTCAAATTCCTCTACGACCTTCAGGTCAGTTTGTGCAGAGACTCGTAAAAGGACTATTCAGGGCAATGATGCCTTTTGGAGTACCCAAGTCTGCTGAAATGATATTGTATTGGGAATAAGAGTGCTTTAACCACTCCCTGCCGGGGAATCCGGATTCGGACACGTATGCTTTATATGCGTGGCCGGGGTCTCCAAACTCGGACAAAGGGAACAGGGCCTTGTAACAAAAGACCGTACTCGGAACAAAAGACCAGGCTGCTGGGCATTACCAACATTTTTTCACTCTCAAATGTGGAGATAATCTAGTCTTGTTTTGAAACAGTATACCACGGTTTGGGGCATTTAGAGCGAGCGGATTACCTCTGGGGACAAAAGCGCTCCACCACCACAGCGATGAGCCACACAGCACCGCTGCACGCTAATCTGGCCCCTATTGAAAAGAGGTCAGCAGTGCACTGAGCCAGGTTCATGAACAAAAGAAAGATATATAACACCGCACAATCTGGGCTCTTTTTACAAGGCTGCAGGCCTGGCTGAAATACTCAGGCGTCAATAGATTTTGTCTGTCAGGCTAGAGGGGCCACCAGACAGTCCTTCACGTGTTTGTAAGTGTCTAGTAAATGAAAATAGGAATTTTTAAAGAATTTTGAAAACAGAAACAAAATTATAAATATCCCGGCCCAGCATCATCAACATTGATAACTGCCCCGGCAGGAAGTGGTAAAATGAGTGAGTGTTTGGATGTACACACAATACCCAAGATGTGCAAAATATTTGCAAAATACTCTGACTTGAGTCCCAGTCCTTCTGCACATACTAAGGACATTTTCAGCACAGGTGTTCTCAAAATTTTCAGATTCTTGCCAATAACAGGATGACAGCCCCCATGTTAAAGATTTATTCAATGTGGAAAAGGGTGGAGGGTGTTTCCAATTTGTCTTCTCCGTCTTGAAGTATCATGCCACGTACTGGAAGAACTTCAAACCTGGAAACGTTACCTGTGTGTACAGATATGTTCTAATTCAGTACAGCCTGTGACTTCGGACAATGAGTCTGACAAGACTTAAGCCAACAGCTTTTATATGACATGATAACCAAGTGGACCGTTTGCCAAAAGCTCATTTTTCACTAAACTTTCACTTTGAACCCTAAATTTGGACTAGAGACGTGCTCTTGAAACTTATCTACTCAACATGTTGTTTTTTCCATTATTGGCAACATGTTGATTAATCATTTTATCTGTTCTTTCCAAAGATGCCCATTGAAGACAAGATTGCAACAATTGCACGTAAAATCTATGGAGCAGATGGTATCGAACTATCTGAAGAAGCAAAGAAGGCAGTGAGCCGCTATCGCAGCCAAGGGTTCAATGACCTGCCTATTTGTATGGCCAAGACACATCTGTCCTTGTCGCATGACGCAACCAAGAAAGGCACCCCTACTGGTTTCACCTTACCGATCAGAGATGTGAGGGCTAGTGTTGGGGCCGGCTTCCTCTATCCCTTGGTTGGAACGGTAAGGACTGTCTGATGATTTGGGATCACACTGTCAACTGCAGTAATATCATTGATCATCAGAGTTTTTAAAAATGTATTCAGTCTTCACTGACTTAGCATAAAAAGATAGTAATTATTACCAAATTGTCTAAGAACACATTGAAAACTTATAAGTCTCTGATGTGTCACACTACGTTAATAATCACAGGCATTTGTGTAACTGTTTTCACTACATCATGGAATATTGTTTTTTGTTAGAATTGTTTCATAAGAAATTACATACTGATTAAAATGACAAATCAAATTTATTGATTAGTCATTATTTCAGCCGACAGGGGTCCTGAAGTTGGCTCATTTTTGGGAGGAATCAAATTTGTCCCTGCCATTTACACTTTCTTGCTGTTTTGTAATCACTATTTAGAAAAAGTGGTCGTTGCGTTTGTACATCAGGAGAGAGAGCAAGTTAACCCAGTACACTTTAGGCTTGACTTTCACATGCAGGTTTTGGACACTAACTTCACCCGAGAAAAGATGCACAAAAATCACATCATCTGTTGTAAAATAGATTAGACTGGTTGCATGCTCTATATTAATTCCTTCCTCCCTCATGTTTACAGATGAGCACGATGCCTGGTCTGCCCACAAGGCCCTGCTTCTTTGACATCGACATTGACCCTGAAACAGAGGTCATTACTGGCTTGTTTTAAAGGTCATTCTTTTGAACAATTCCTGAAGGTAGCAAATGTGTATTTCATTCCAAATAGATTTATTTTCAAATATTGTGACATCATGAGGCTCAGGATTCTGTTATATTTTGATTTCTTTTTTTTTGTTCTTTTTATGGTAAACAGTTGACATGACTAGCCCATTGGGGTTACAATTCAATATTTTATTGTGATGAAAGAGCATTCATACCAGAAGGACTTCAGCTTACGTCAACTCATCCTGTCACCTGTTTACTTTAATATGAGCAGAACGTGATGACTTAAATGTTACATATGCATGAGTCTTTGAGACTGTTTTAGGCAGAGAGGTGAAATTAGACACAAAAATGCTACAACATAAGTCTGCTGTTTGTGTAGGTTATATGAACTGGCATGTGCTAGAGTGCCTTTGGTTTTATTTACAACAAATAAGATAAATGGTTGGAAAACCTGACCGTCATTCCACCATTCAGGCATCCACATTTTTTTTTTTTTGAGGCCACCATTTTGAGGAGATGTAGAGATTCACAGGAATGAAAAGGATTATGAGCTTAAAGAGCTGTAAAATAAAGTATCAAGATAGAAGATTCGAGGAGCAGTGGTTTGGGTTATATTTTGCTCTACACAAACTTCCTCCCATTGCAGTTACAATGACATCATCACAGAGTCTACCACTAGCCAATCACAGTTCTTCCGTCCTTGAGTCATTTTACCTGTTATTTGAATGACGCTGTCACTGTCCATTGCATGTTGCTTTGATTTATGACAGGACTCAGGATTCGAGTTGTAATTGACTTATTGACTAAGTGACAGCTGTTTCTCCAACACTCTAGGAACTGTGTCAAGTCTTTTATGCAAGATGCTCTCAAATATGTGCAATTTCCAACAGACGAAATAGCACTAAAATATCACCAGTGTATTCCAAATAACCTTAGAAATGACACAATTCTTTGTAAACACCAGGATTTAATTGAAATGGTGTGAAGAGGATACTCAAGAGAAACTTTTTTGTCTTAAATAAGAACCTGTAATCATTGTACAATCTAAAAATGAACTCCATGAATTTAGAAAATCCTACATTCAATGTAGCATGTCCTTGATAATAACTCTGAAGGAAGGAAAAAAAGTCTCTTTCCACTCAAAATCCATTATGAGAAGGAGCAGATGTTTATTTGTGCCACAGTTGATCGGAAGATTTTATATTTAAGACTATATTTTAATAGTTTAACATGCAGCTACAACACCTTTTAAATTGCATATAATGCAGAAACGGTACATGTAAAATTACTTTCATTTTGTCTTTTTTATTGTAAAAACTACAAATGAAACTCTGTGTTCCTGTTTTTTCAGACTGAATTACCTCAACAGTCCTCAGTCCTCCAATTTGAATGTGATTTTCCACACACCCAAGGGGCACAGCAAATAGTCTGATCCTGATCATTTTTATAGCTACTAGTATTGATCAATAGAGAAAAGTCCCATTGACCATGATATCTATTCCTTATGCTTATTCAGAGTTCTTACCGTCATGGCTATTCTTTTTCAATGACCGTATAAATCAGTCAGCTTTTCACTCAGACGACTCCAAAAGTTGCTTCCTCTTTACTGTTTATTTACAATTACAGGCACACAAAATATAGCCAAGAAGTAACAATGGAACTTTTTGTCAATTGAAATTGTAATGAAAAAAATACAGGTGATGAGATCAAAGGTGTAGATACTCCCATGCTAGTAGACATCGATATTAATGATGCCACAGGGGACAATGGGCCCCCACTGGCTTCATAGAAAGGTGCACATGTGAACAAAGTGTGACGTCATTGGTATGTTGACCTATTCTGTTGACAATCAAGGAGTCTCATTTGAAATGGTTAGAGTTCCTGTTCTGAAGAGGCCCGACTGAAAATATTAACAGAATTAAAATATGCATATTTAATCAGCAGTTGATAGCAGTGTTGTATTATCTCACACATTACTCCAACAGATCCCTGAGTTACTCTCTGCAGGCAGAAAGAGCAGTCTTTTATTTTTTATCTTCCCAAGTGAGTTTAAAAACAGCACGACATAACTGTCAAATTGATTTTCCTTTTTCCCCGGATGGATGCTGCTTGCTAATCCTAAAAGTTACCAGACTTTTCTTCAAGCATGCTTCAGAGCCTCTCGTTTGCTCAGTGGAGCTAGCTTGTCTTTGTTCTCCTTCACAAAGTCTTTGACAGCCTGGGGGGCAATGCGGAAGTGGTTGCGTAGAGCCCATCCGATAGATTTCTGGATGAAGAATTCCTTCTCATGGCAACACAACAGGCAGAATCTACATCATGTATTTGAAGGGATGAAGAGAAAGTTCAACGGAACGAAAAACAGATTACTGTAACAGAGAAATTTATAGAGAAAGTAGCCGTAAACAAACCCTTGCGCATTATTACCAGCCTGGCCCTGCTCCTAGCTCCACTATCTTTCCAATTTACTTCAGCTGCACACTTTCCATGCATCTAAAGATAAATACTAACGTGTCTGTACATTTAACACCAGTGGTGGCGTTAGGGAATTACTACATATTCAAAAATCTGACTCGGCCTAATAATGTGCCCGATATCATTCCAAGTGAAGGTGCTCTTCAAATTAATATGATTATGCTGAATTCATACGAGAAGCAAGGTGATTTGTAATTGGTAACTGTTAGCCACGGGGCGTCACACAAGAGTCCAGGCTCAGATCCTCAGAAAGCAATTGCCGAAGGAGAAAGAAAATATGCAATATGCAGGCTTGAATGATTGTTTGCACAGTGCACAAGAAGTAGCCATCTCACCTGGTCTGCGCAAAATAACTCGATGTCAAACGCTCGCTAACAAGACTAGTGTTTGAAATATGCGCACGTGGCGTGGCGCCTCGAGAGACGTTAATTATTACATCTTTTCCTGTTTACGAGCAGACTGGAATCCATACCTGAAAAGCTTGTCCTGGTCGGTGTCGTGTTTATATTTTAACTGATGAAGGATTGCCGTCCGGCGAAGCCACATGTTGGAGTGTGTTATCCAGCCTTCTAGGACTGGGTTCATCACAGCTGGTTGTTCTTTCGCTAGATATCCGACCACTGGAAATGGAGAGTCGTTCAAAGGGCTAAGCAAAAGTTATTTGGGGGACCATCACGACAAAGGAGAAAAGTGTTTCAAGTAATTGTATTCTCGTTACGACGTCTGAGAAACGACAATCCAAAAAACTAATTCTTTCCGAACTTAATGAACAGGTAAATGGAGGGTGTATAGACCCCAAGCTGGCCATTTTTATCTTTGAACTACAAAAGGCACCTATTACCATAGAGCAAGGGTATAGTTAAAGGTGTGTTCTGCAGTTGTTCGTAATAATAACAATTATACTACAGTCCAAGACGATTCAGAAGTTATTAAAAGCAAAACAAAGCAAGCAAACAAACAGACCAGACATTCAAAGTTTTATCAAAATGAAAACAGATGTCCCTGATTACGTCGGTTTTACATAGATGCATGCCAATCCAAGAGGTAGGGACGGTGCACTTTCCAATGTTTTCAATGGAGGGGATATTAATGGCAATTCATTCCAAACTTTGCTCTTTGCGTGACTTTTTTTTTTTTTTGCTCTTAAATCTTATTTCTAGATTGCACCATAATGCATGCATTAGGACTCGCCAGGCTAGTCCATGTTTTATCAAGAAACAAGGTCCGAAACAATCTTTCAGATGAATGCCCTTTATCCAGTGCAATTGTTGGTACCCGCATGACGCATTATGCTGGAATACCGGTAATGAGTGTCAATATTGATCAGGAGAGGAATATGGCTGCGTAGCACCGTGATCAGAATATCGGCAAGAATATAATATCAAATCTGTGCTCTGAAATACGTGATTGCCAATCGCGTATTTCAGAGCACTGATTAGATATTGCATTCTTGTCGACATTTTGATCTGAAGAGGGTTGTGGGAGGGGGAACTCATCGTATATTTGGTGGGCTCCAAGAACACTGACAAATCTTTCTTTGTTCCTCTGAAAAAATGCACAGTAAAAACATCCATTGTTTGGTCATCATATTTCTTCAAGAAAGTACAACATTTTTTTTTTTCAAATTTTGTTTTCGGGATGCTACTGTGCTTTTTTCGCATGGCTAAATATGTGTGGTCCATATTTTTCGTGGAGCGTCATTAAACCTTGGTGTCAAGCGCAAAGGAAGTTCTCCCCTAAACATGTATGTACATTTTAGACAAACTTTCTGGTAGGAACAAAGTCTGATTCTTTTCCGGAAAATGTCCTTTTACAATATCTTTCACTTTGGAAAAAGAAGGGTTACGTTTCAATGGATAGAAATAACAGCAGGAATTTTAAGGGGGGGGGGTAACCGTGTTGGATTGCACGTGTCACCCGCCCCTCAAATCGAACAAAGGAAATTGCTGCCTTTGGGTCTCTCCCGACCCACCCCTCCCCTCCCTCTATCAAGAAAACAATCGTCTTTTGTGGTACAGAAGATAACAGCTTAATCCTGTATAAACAGAACCCTCAGAGCGTGCGAGATTAATTCCGAAATGAAGGAACTGTGACTGTTTTGAAGACAAACTAGAAAACCTTCCCGACAGCTCTTCCGGATTGGAATTCGAAGACAGAAAATGATATTTTCCCTGTGTGCTGAAAATTGCGTCTACTTACGATTTGGCGAAATACTATCAATGGTATCCCACCAACTCCTCGTCGTTAACAAGGTCTCCAGACACCGCGCCGATTCTCGGCAATCGTCAGCCGTTTTTCCCAGGAGCAAACCCCGGTACCTCTCGGCGAATTTCAAGGCAATATGTTGATACTCTCGTTCGGGTTTGCGCCATAGGGATAGCATTGTACTCCTGAGGTCGGCCGGCTGAGTAATTGCTGGTGATTCTGCAAGGATCTTCAAGATGGAAATGCGTAATTACTAATCCCCCACTCTCTTTACTGTGTGCTGTGTGGCAAAGTTGTTGACCCGAGTCGTGTGACTTGGACTCGAGTCGCTATTTTTGTGACTTGACTTGTACCTACTAGCTTTGACTTGTGACTAGACTTGGACTTGCAAAAAATGACTTGTGACGTGACTTGGACTCGCAAAAAAATGACTTGTTACCAACCCAAGTCGGACGCTACTCGACCGGCTCCACATAGCCTTTTTATAACTCGTAACTTCGTAAGTTGACGCCTGGTTCTTTTTGTTATTACAGCTGGACAACATAATGTGCGGCTTGACTTGTACTTGGAAAAAGAGACTTGTGACTTGACTTGTGTTTAGACCAAATGACTTGTGACTCGACTTGTGACTGGACCTAATGACTTGTGACTTGACTTGGACTTGCAAAAAATGACTTGCTTCCACCTCTGCTGTGTGGCGGTTTACTGTACACTCATAATATTCCCAAAGTGCAGCTACACGTATATCTGAATTCGCACACTGTAAACTAATCAGGAGTTTTTTGCTATTGAACAAAAAGATGTACTCATGTCAGTTGGCAAGAATTATTTCAATGTCTATAAGGATGTTTTGAAGAAAAGAAACTAACAAAAACTTTGTTTCACAAAAGTGGGACAATTTGTAGACCTGTAGTTATTCGCGTTTATCGAAGAATGTAAGAAGCTCTTCTCATAATAAAAACAACGTTTAGAGTTTAAATACTTTTTGTACCCACTTTTTCCACATGTTTAACCCATGACACGTTTATTAAAATGTGTTAAAGAATGAGTTTAAACGCTAAATGCTTTTCCGTGGTACACGTTTTGGTTTTTTAAATCCGCTTAGCATTTCAACACATTCCTAAACGCATAACACTAAACATGTCGGGGTTAAACGTGTCAAACAAGTGGGTACAAAAAATGTGTTTAACCTCTAAGTGTTGTTTGCATAGGGTAGGGGATCATGGGATTGGCTGTCATGTTGAACCGTTCTAGCAATCCTTGGTCCTAACGCTATCCCATCAAAACTTCCCGCGCACATTATAAGGCCTTCATCTTACATCTTGGAAAGCGCTCTTCAAGTCCGGACTCCCGATACCGTAAAATGTGAACTGATCTCGCATGTATTTTGCCATAGCCGGCGCCCGATCAGGGTTAGCTGCACGGCGTAGATGTCTCGTTACTATGGTGACAATACTGGTTGCCATGGCATCGTCGTCTGTCTTCGCTTTCTTCCTCCTGGATGATTTCTCTTGTTTAGTGTGCGGCTGTCGCTTAGTGGCGAATGGTGCCTTCGGTGCTTGGACGACTTGTCTACGTCTTGTGCTCATCTCGACAGGCATGCAACTCATGAACTCATAGGCTACTGCTCTTCTTTCGCATAATATTCCTATGAACGGAACAGTAAATGAAAATACTGTACGTTAACTTTCGTCGAGAGTCTTCCACACAAGGTGCCCGTATATTTTTTGAGAACCGCAGAGGTTGCCATGCGGTATTGATTTTTCGGGGACGTGTTTGATACAAGCAAAGCGAATAAACCAAGTTCAGAGACGCCATTCCATTCTGGACCAAAACTATAGCCGCCAGTGGCGAAAATTGGAGTTGCTCGTGATGAAAGATGCATCTGGTCAATGCATTAATCTTTCCTGAATATAAATTGGAATGGACGGACGGCAAAACTACCCACTTACGGGCCTGGCTTACGGCGCCCCCTCTTGAGTTTCTCACCCACAGGGCAGCAACATTCCCCCGCTTAGTTTGCATGATTAAAACCAGTGCGGGGGGGGGGGTCGAACTACCAGGCGCACCTGTACGGCAGTGGCGTCAGCGGCGTATCCAGCTTTTGGTGTCAGCGGGGGGGGGGGGAGGTTCAAAAGCAAATGGAGCTTCAGATTCAAGATGTCAGTCAAGATGATGTTGGGGGGGAAAGAATCAAAAGCCTTAACTCACAGTGCCGACACTGTGCTTTTATCTGCTGGTGTTGTTTTCTTAGGGTTTTGGTGCTAATGATTTGATAAATAAATACACCGATTACTTTCTGTCCTACTCACCTATGAAGTGTTCTTTGGTAAAAGAAAATCCTAGGGGGGTTCCCCCGCCCTCCACCAGATGCGCCAATGAGTGGCGTAACTACGGGAGGTGGGAACAGGGGGCACGCCCCCTGTGGATACCCGTCCCCTGCCCCCCATTTGAAATCATCGTACAGGTTATGTTGCTCTTCAGCTGTATCTTATTTTATTGTGATGCCCCCTGGCTTGAAATGTTGTGTGCACGTACTCCAGGTCCTCCCCCGGACATTTAGCCCTGATTACGTCATAGCTGCACTGTGAAGTCCTTCACCTTGACCCGTATAAGGTGAACAACTTATCCCGGGGGATTGTGGGCCACATTTAATAAGTTTATGTCCAAGAAAAAAGGCCTTCCTCATGGCTGAATCACCAGCAAGCATATATCCACCGATTTTCGACAGAGAAAGGGAGAAGAGAAATGGTACTCTTGGTTAATGTCGAGAATGAACTAATCAACGTTGTGTTGAATGCAACGGACCCATCCACAGGGGCCTACGCCATCCGTAATACCCAGTTCTGTTAGTTTTTATGTGCCAGGTCGATTAAAAAAAAATTCTTTTGTTGTATTTAAGAAACGTACGACGACTTGCAGATTTCGGCTTTCCGTGATCCGGTACGCTTCCGCCCGCCGGGAGGCCATTCAAGAGCTCCACCGCTGAAAATTTTGCGTCTCCAGAGGCTTTTTTAGAATACGTCTCCGTTCAAGTTTCCAAGTTAAGGTTAAAATGTTGAGAGTGATACTGCAGTCGATTTCAAATATTTTTTTTACACTCGATCTCGAAGGGGTGGCCACATACTTTTGGAGTGCTGTTCAGTGCGATAGCCCGCCGCCTTCATTCCCCAACAATGTGTACAGTGTCAGCCTGTATGGTGAAAACATCATCTCTGTAGGGTTTTTGTAGGCAGCCTCGTCACCCGTTCAGGAGGCCACAGTATACCAGCTAGGGGCACGTCGCAATTTTGATGCTTGTGTTTTTGGCTGATGGAGGGGCGGGGGCAGCTTCTCGCCAGGGGGTCCGCCCCCCCCCCCTGACGGCCTTTTTTTTTTCAATAAAAAACACATCAATATTTTAACCAAGATTGTACTTACTGACAAAAATACACTGCAGGTAAGCCTACTTGCGGGGAGTGGAAGTAGGCCTACTTGCGGGGAGTGGAAGTTTTGACGATATAGGCACGAGGACCAAGAGACGAGAGGGCAAAGGACGAAAAGATAACGAGTAAAAACCGTTCTGTATCGACGCGTACGTGATAGGCATTGCATATGAACACGTCTACCGTTAATTCTGTCTGTGATATTACAAGCAGGAAATTTCCGGTACAAATTTCATCAGCACGCACTCGCAAGGCCGCCAGAGACAACGTGCCTGTACGCAAACCACAAAAAAACGGCGAGTTGAGGTTTTCTGGCTACGTTTTCTTCGGTGAAACTGGGTCCAAACGCACAGGCGCTTTCTGGTGGGATTCCAAGACGATCGGACTGCATTGCTAACGCATGACTGGACTGGCACGTCGGCCATTGGCACGCTGCGTGAAGAACCATAGGGAGATTCATACCGTACGTGTTGCTATGCAGAGAGACTTACCACGTGCGTGCATGCCGAGAAAATAATCGACGGTTTTGTTGTCTTTCAAATTTTAGCCCCTTTTGTTTTGTCGGCCAGTTGTATACAGCATTTACCAGAGTCTTTCCCCTGTGGATACAGAGAGATACTGTAGCAAAGATGGGCGGGAAAATGAGTAAAAAGAACAAGTCTTATGACATGTCCGGGGGAAAAGAAGAAGTTGGAGGAGGCTCGCCGGTAGACGAGGGAGGCTCGAGTCCTGAAGGGGGTGAGGTGACGGTCACGGGGGTGAAAAAGACGGGAGAAGACTCGGGCCAAGTCGTAAGTATGAACATCCTCCATCGTCATATGAACGAAAAATCGGAGTCTAGTCCATTACAAATGAGGGAAAGGTGTGTTCAGCAGTTTAGAAAAAACACATCGCAACTGTAGGGGGCAATTACGCCCTACGATTAAATGCCCAAAATATGGAAATTGCACAAATGGTTTGTCCAGTTACATAGGCCTACTGATAAATTGACCGTGAACTTTGTAACCGCCAGGATACTTATCAGCAATCACCACATATTCGTTATATTAAGACTCAAATCCTGATACTATATTTCTCATGTCATGCATGTGTCACGTGTGATATTTCGGTAACCGTAATGGTGTGATTCTGTGAGACTATATGTAGGCCTAAATGCTAATATTCGGTAAGCTACCTCTTCAAACAGTGTCAGAGCGCTACATTGGAGGTCAAAAGGTTCAAATTCTGTAAGTGTCAGATTTCACAGTTTTTGTTTCATACCAGGAAAAGATTCTGGTAACGGTGATGCAAGGTATTATAAATTACTCACTGGCATTATTTTGTTGATGATCTGCTTTTCAATTTCATTTTAATGAATGATGCAGTAAATGTTACTATTGTTAGTATCTCACAATACACTGGAAAAGTTGCCAAGTACAGAACTAGTGTCCCAGGTACATGTATATTTAAGATTTCCTGCAACGAAGACTTTACTGGATTGGGGAGTCTGGAAAAGATGTAATCGTAGACTGCATTATCAGTTAACAGCTATTATTATAACATTCATCACTTCTAGTGATAACAGATTTTACATTTTGTGCATTAGACTAACATGTACTTTGGACAGTGGTGGTGGAATGATTTTCAAAGGGGGGCAGCCAGTTGTTACACCATCAGGCATCAGCCATTAATAGGCCAATCCATTAAGCCCCACCCCATTATAGGACCTGCCAAATGTGAGGGGAGGGGGGCAAAGTCCCCAGTTTAAAAATTGGGAGGGAGGCTGTGCTGGGCCTGGTGCCCCTCACCTTGCCCCCTGCCTCTGTTGCTTGTGGCTTTGGATTAAGTCCAGGTGAGGGCACACATGTACATGTACATGTATGCACAACACGTGATTCTGTCTGGTGCATGAAATGTCACCTTGATGTCTCACATAGCCTACATCTAAAGCTCAGTCATACAGTTAAAGTGACACTACTGATGTGTTCAAAGATGCATGATGTATCATGGCTTCAAATCATTCGTTGCCACCTTATATCTGACTTAATTTTCAAGAAAAACCATGTGCCTTAGAGAGTATGCGCTTTGCACTGCATTCAAATAATGGTGTGACTTTCAAGTATAATGGATTTGGATGGAATACATATAACCGAGTTAATTCTTCTGCATAGTAAGGATCCACACCCATGGCTCTCCCTGAATTATCAGAAGTAGCCATCAGTAAAGCAATCATTGTAATCATTTTTACAAACTGTGGTTGATGTTAGGATCAATAAAAAAAAACCTTGAGCTGCATGCTTGGATGTATAATTTAAGTCCCAGGTTCAATCAACTTTGAGCAGGATTCTCATGTCCAAATCCTATCTGCAGAGGAAGGAGATTTTTTTTCCCTGGGTTTGATTTTTTAGCTCGCAACAGGAAGGCCTTGTGTTTACAAATGGAAGGGCAGGAAAAGAAGGAAATAGAAACTACAATGTATGTTAGACTGAATGCAGACTTTTTCGTATCTCGTACATTTAGGGAAAGAAAATCCTGTTGTGTATTTTTAAGGAACACTAGAAGATGAATTTACAAGAGAAGTGTTGCATTAGCCGAGGTTGCCTTGTGCTGCAACACTACAGTGAGGGCTTTTTCTTCTGGTTTTAATATCGAAACAGTTTATCAGGACTTCACATCCAATCACACATATTCAGTAAAGTTTGGTTGCATTTGTTATTAATACTTTATGAGATGGAAAGTATTGGTTTTTTCCCCTCCAAATTGCTTTTATTTATCTACCATTTATCTACACATGAGCACTATTTATATTACCGTTTTCTAAATTTGTCATTGACTTGGATGGTATCAGCAATAAAATTTGATGCAGCAAAGACCATGAATAATTTGCAGATTAGAGGACGATAAACTGCAAAATCCAATCTGTGTGCGCACTGCACAGTGTACTTAAACTGAGCGACTGAGCAGCTGTCCTTGTGCTGAGACTTGTCTTACTTGTAATAATTCATGTACATTGAACAGTGCAAATAATACCTGTTTTAAACAAATTGTTGTCTCGTGAATGAGTTATTGTGTATCGGCGAAAGTGTAAAAGCTGAGAAAACGTCTACTACACCACCAACTACCGTAGAATAATTTTCACTTTAATTTAACATGTACATTACATGTAAGAGTATTTAAATAGATTGGAAATTAAAACAGGAGGAAACAAAAAATCCAACTTATACTGAGTGACATACGCAACTCCACCAGTGAGATTGCATTGAAGTATTTTGAATGAATTGAATTCAACAAGTATAGCCCCAAGAACTAGTGAGACTGTATTTTCTATGGTGAATCATGAGCAGCGTAAAGCATCATGCACATTGTTTTATGGTTTCCCCATGATAAAATTAACCCACTCGAAATGATGCAGGTTGGGATTATATGTGGGTATTAAAGCAAGAAGATGCACACGCTCCGGTAATTTTTACAGTCATACCGGTACATGTACTGATGTAGCTAACGTTTGTGAAGATGGTCAGTCAGAGCTACATGTAAGCTGAGTCATATCAGAATGACAAATGTTAGATGTTGATTACTGGACTTGTCTTCAGTCACTGTGTGTCAGTGTGAAAATTCTCACCAGCTCTGAAACCCTGCTGGAGTCAGTTTTCTGTACAAAAACAGCTGGAGACATGAAAGTTCACTCCATGGTACACAAGATCGGCTGAAGACCCTGGCCGTAATAACTTGAACATCTACCGTAGATGGCTGGTTGGTGGTAGTGTGTGATAATGCCAAATAGCCAAAAAAAAAACAAAACCAAAACCCAAAAAACAAAAAAAACACCAAAAATATATCCTACACAGAAGGAACCAACCTCAGGGAACTGATTGAGGGAAACACAGTACTTTCCAGCCGAAATGACATGCAATCTGTGCTTCTTGTGACTGGTTCCCAAATGGTGCAAGGCAAGGCACGTAAAGGTATGCTGCTGGGAAGCTGTGAAATCAGCTCAGAGCGGGCTATGCCAAAAGAATTAAAGACGTATGGTGTGTATGTCAGCCAATGGACACAGAGTCAGATAAGTAAGTGTTGCACACATATGTGTTTTGGTGATGGAATGATTGATGACCTACTCGGCATCTGATGACAGTCGGGCATGCTCAGTGTCTTGCACCCAACTTTGCTGGCGATTTGTTTTCAGTTGCCCCATGCTTATTTTCTTTTGAAGACTGGCTATTTCCCTGTAGCATATCTGGCGCTCATGAGGTCCCAGGCACTGGTCTCCCAGCACTTGACACATGGACAGTTCTCCCACTAACACTATGGAGCATAAATATTTACTAAACCTTGGGCACTTTTGGCTCCCCCAAAAAAGAGCCAGGGTTTACTTTTTTCACATATTTTTGAAATAGTAAATTTGTTGTAGTAATAAAATAAGTGGCCAAGAGTTCAAAGGGACAATCACTCTGTTTACTTCATATTTTTAGTTCATACTGTACCTGTTGTACATGTATCTGTATTGACTGCTAGTACATGTGAAACAAAAGTTTCTTTTGATCATGAAAAAAAGAGAAGTTGGTGTAAAAAGAGTCGTATATAAAAAACAAATAATTTTGAACTTGAAGCCGTAGACTTAATTGTGTAAAGTTTTAAACATCCCTTTAAAATGAGAGAGAGAGAAAAAATTGAAGGTTTACAGTTCAAGCAAAAAAGGAGCCCATTTTTAGTTGGAATCCTCAAATGAATATACATCATGTACATGTACCGGTATGTGAGTATTGGAATTGTCAATATGAATATACATGTATACACGTATGCACAGGAGTATATTGAACACAGAGAGCTATACATGTACATGACAAACAGCCCAATGAAAACGGGCAACCAAAAGCAGTAACTGTCACACCAGTATTGTTGTTATTGATTTCAGACAAAGATGTGATGGTTTGAGGAGGTGTTAAGTGGAATTTTCAAATCAATATCAATGACAGTCATCACCAAAATTAGGATCAAATGCAGAAATTGTAATTTTTACTGACATCTAGCATGCTTGCGAGAAATACATGTAGCTCAGTGTCGTCTCTTCGTGCATTCCCTCCTCCTACAACTGAGGCAGATAAGAAATCAAACTATGAAATGAAACCATTTTTTGATGGAGATAAAATTGTTCCGAAGTAAGATGTACGGTATACATGTAATCTGTCGCACTAGACCGTGTGACCTTTACAAATGAACACTGGGACACTGATTAGTCTGTGTGGTTTGTATACCCGGTACATACCATGAATAAATCCTGCTTCATTAACTCTGACATGGGGACATGTTCAATTACTAAAGCAGCACACTACATGAAGTTGGAGGGGGGAAAAATTCAAAATGATAGCGTGTGCAAAATTTGTGAAAGCGGGCTCTTCACTTAAGCCGAAAGCCAGTTTGTGCAGCAACGAATTGAATAGGATGGCAGACAAGTAGAATGAACGTACTGTACATGTAGTACGTGTACTTGTAGTTTTAGGCATACATTTACATATGTATAGATTGTACATGTATACATGTGCATGCTCAAAGCATGTGAGTGAGAATTCCACATGTGCACATGTACATCAGATGTCGTTGGCAATTTTGACATTTGTTGAGAATTTGTTGCAGACTTTCAAATCACGAAATTTGGGAAGCATTCTGCCAACATGAGACTAAAACCTGACAAATGTTGAAAGATGATGTTGGGGTATGAAAATAAAACCTTCCATGCAGTATTCCTTGTTATACTCCAGTGGGACATCGTTGATAAGTTCTGGGCGCATGACATGAATTTTATTTTGGAACA